CTGTGATGCCACGGCACTCTACCCAGGGGGACAGCTTGAGGCTCTGTCTCAAAAAAAAAAAAAAAAAAAAAGAAGGGGAATAGTGTAGTTCAGCCCAGAGGTTGCCCGCCTGCATACAACTTCCAAGGTCTTCTGCATTCATGGAATTCTAGTAGAACCCGAATCAACTTGAGAAAGTCAGACTATAAAAGTAAGTAGCTATTAGAATTTAAAAGAAATTTTTTACTTTTTTTCTATGGCTAATGTTATATTTTTACTCACCCTAAACGTGAAGTCCAACAATAGCACAAAAGTTAAGCAATTCAAAAAGTAAAAGGTAAAAATCAACCAAAATTCTCCCTAAGAGAAAACCATTGTTTACTCTATCACTGGATACATTTTTGATTGGCTCTTCATAAATTTATTTTAGATAGAAATGGAGAAGTAGATATATACTCACATACAAACATGCTATTTGGGGGATCATAAAAGACGGCCTGTTTTATAACTAGTATCTTTCACTCATGTCTGTCTTGGTTGTTTTCCCATAATGTTAGATATGATGGTAGCCATCGGTTAAAACTGCATTTCATAGATACGCTGTGATTTATTTTCCAAGTTCTTGATAGACATTTAGATTGATTGCAGTTTTTTTTTCCAATTTATCATGAGATTTCTGATACACGGAGAATTAATTCCAACATTATTGGCTGTGACATTAGCTCCCCAGTTATTTTCCCGTGCTTGGACTTTCTGGTCAGGAGCCTGGTTTCCCTGAGTCTTGTGGTATTCTACAATTTCTAAGTTGGAAATGGAGATTCTGAGGACTCATGAGGTTTATTGCAGAGTGCAAAGAGAGGTGGTTCTAGACCCAAGGATTGCTTCCCTGTGAAGAAAAGACAGATGGTCTGTGTGGCTCTCTAGACTTCCTGTAATGAATACTTTCTGTATTGGCAAATGCCAGAGCTGATTCCCAACATTCTCTGTAGCCATCTGCCACTTGCCAGAACTCATCACCCTCTTCCTAAACCCCGTGGCTTCTCCTAGCAGTATTGGAGCTGTCAGGTACCTCAAAAAATCCCTGATAACACACCGAGGTCCCTGTAATTGCCTAGGAAGATGACAAAGTGAGGCTTTGGCTGGTCTCCCAAACCACATGCCTGGCATAAGTGAAGCTTAAAGATGATGGATACATCTTTCAGCTTTTCTCACAGAAAGCCTATGAGTTGGCTGATTCCATTAAACTCTGATTTATAAAGTACCAATCGCTGTGCTTTTAGTCTTTTTTGTAGTTAGCTGAAAGGAAGCAGCACATACTGGAAGCAGTGTGGGCCACTAAGCGCTGAACACAAACCCAATTCTGCCACTTATGGTTCCGTGGCCTTGGGCAAGACACGAACCTTTTTGGTAAACTTCAGATTACTTCTCTGAAAAAGCAGCTTTATTTAAAGACATCTGATTTGGCCCTGTTTGGTACTGATATCTGGGGAGGGCAAGGGTACCAGCAGTGAGACCATCAACAAATGCCCACTTGGTGGTGGCAAGTGGCCATTTAAGATGACAGTGACTCTGCAAGCTGGCTGGGATCCTCCTCTCAGTGCTAGGGCCCAAAGCAGTTAAGGGACTGACCCCAAAGCCGGAGAGAGTAAGTGGAGTTAGAATTCAAGTCCAGGCCTGCAATCACCAAGCCCGAGTTCTCCTACCACGTACATAAGTGAAAAATCTGTCTCATCATCACCTAAGAGAATCATTTTTACATTAGCCATTGGAACTCCACAAGAGTCCTCAGCAGTTGGACGGGGAGAGACAGAAGAGGGAATCTGACATTATTACTTTTCCTCTCGATTTCAGGACTCTGACCTAGCTCATTTTTCATGCCATCTTCCTTCTTTGTCGAGATTTCCTTTAGAAGTGAGTTTTCACATTTTGTCTCATTATGAACTCCAACGGAGATCATTTGTATCACACTGATCTGTCATCTTAAAGAGTTTCACAGACAAAACAGAGGGCCTTTGGCTGTTAAAAGCATTTTCAAATTCCATTTTTCCTTCTAACCTGTCCTACGGATTCACGAATGCTGGCAGCAAACCAAGACTTGTTTATTTGCAGTGTTCTCACGCTCCCGCCTAAGGAACTTGCCACATGAATGTCCTCTTAGCTAGAATTCAGTCTGTCCTGAGTGCATGAGGAAGACACTTAAGGCCTTCTCTATCCCTGCTGATGAAGCAGGAAATAATTCACAACTAAAAGGGAGACAGCTCTACTGCAGTTGAAAATTAGGAACCGCATATCACCTTATTTCCCCAAGTTGTCATTAATTCCGAATAATATAGGCAGCTGGTAGTGTCTCTGGGCTTCTCCTGTTCCCCTATATTGCTATTAAGTGATTAGTTCTACTGTGTCTCCTTTCCTCACACATTACCTTGTTACATTTTTTTATAAAGCAGTCAACATAAACCAGGAGCCTGCCTGAGGTCTGGCATTTGGTAAACCCAAGCCTCCTCCCGAATCACGCAGAGCCCTGTGGGCTGGAACAGAGGTGTTGGCGGGATAAAGACAGTAGGGCTCAGAGTAGATCCCCCACAATGACTCAGCAGAAAGGTTTGAGGTTAAAAGGAGTTAAAGACATCATGCTTGTTTTTGGAGAAAAAAAAAGTTTCAAACTCCCCCGAGAATGTATTCTTACTTTCCTTTTTTTTTTTTTTTAACTGTAGAAAAGAAAAAGACTGAGAAGCAAAAAGAGAAAAAACAAGAATGTAGGCAGTACAGAAGCTATGACAGGCTGCGGCCCCAGCAGGGAGAAGGGGCTTCCCATAAACTTGGAAACTCTAGAAGTGTTTGGATGAGAACCAGAGAGAGAGAATGTTAAGTAGATGACCCGTTTGTGCCATCAGCACTTGAAGTAAAATTGGAGAAAAATTAGTTTTTATTTCCGTTTTTGTGATGGAAGGAGAAAAATAAAAGAAAAAAGTTACTCAAACATGAAATGAAATAACAAAACTAAAATTCAGTCTATTTTTCCCCTTCTAATCTACATGGGAACAAAATTAATTAGTTTAAATTCTTCCAAATCAGTAAAATGAGATTGGAGGATAGTTGTGAGCCCTAGACTTTAAACTCAGCTCTGGAAAGGACTTAAACTGCGTGTGTGTGTGTCTGAGAGAGAGAGAGAGAGAGAGAAATAGAAACTTGGGTGGTGGAAGGGGTTCACTTAAATGCCCATGCATCTGTTATTTGGGAATAATAATATGCTCTGTTATATTACGTCTACAGGCTTTTCCTCACTTACTCTCTTCTTTTTTTCTAAGGTCCAGTTGAAAAGTGAAGAATCCAAAACATTTGCAATGAAGATCCTCAAAAAACGGCACATTGTAGACACAAGACAGCAGGAACACATCCGCTCCGAGAAGCAGATCATGCAGGGGGCTCATTCCGATTTCATAGTGAGGTAAAGACCCTGCCCCAGGGACGGAAGCACCTGCCTCCAAGGGGCGGATCAACCACAAACCCTCCCCATGTGCTCACTGTGGACACCTTTCATTCACGCAGAGAAACTTATTTTTTATTATTATTATTATTATTATCATTTTGCATATTTTGCAGTTTTTGGCCAGGGCTGGGTTTGAACCCACCACCTCCAGCATATGGGGCCAGTGCCCTACTCCTTTGAACCACAGGCACTGCCTGAGAAACTTATTTTTTACTCTAATTTTAAGGAAGTTGGTTGATTTTAAGAAAGTTTAAAGAGTATTAATTCTGTCTCTCACCCCTTTCCTTATGAAATGAATCAGAGTCTTGAAAAAAACTGTGTTTTCCTCAAAGGTGGTACCAGAGTCTCTAACATTCTATTTTTATACTCTTTTTTTACTCCTGAACATTATATAGACCTCTGGTGCTTAAAAAACAAAATAACAAAAATTATACTATTTAACCTTTAATTATTTGAATAATTTTTGAAGATCCAAAAAATGAAATGGCAGCTGATCACTTCAGCACTAATAAGAGAATAATGGGGGAATTTATTATTATTATGATTATTATTTTCAATCCAAGACAGAGTCTCATTCTGTCATCCTGGGTAGAGGATCCTGGCATCGGCCTAGCTCACAGCAATTTCAAACTTTGGGGCTCAGGTGATACTTTTGCCTCAGCCTCCTGAGTAGCTGGGACTACAGGTGCCCACCATGACACTGGCTAGTTTTTCTATTTTTAGTAGAGACAGGGTCTTACTCTTTCTCAGACTGGTCTTGAACTCCTGAGTCAAGCAATCCAGCCATCTCAGTCACCCAGAGTGCCAGGATTATGGGAGATTTATATACAGTAAAATTTTTGTAGTTAATTTTCCAGTGGCACTGGCTGAAAAAGGAAGTACATGAAGTAACAGCACATGAACTTCATACAACTCTGTATGTGTAAAGTTTAATCTGCTTTCTATCCATGTTCACAGTGCATGTTTATGACCAGTGAATGGTGCTCAAGAGCTCTTGCTGTAAACATCAGCCAAATTGGACCTGAAAGGATCCCAGGAAACCTCCTTTATCCATAATCATTAGGATTAGTTTATTTCTTCTTTTTTTTCTTTTCTTTTTTTTATTGAATGGTAACTATGTACATTAATGCATTTCTGGGGTACAGTGTGGTATTTTCACATACAATTTGAAACATTTCCATCAAAATGGTTAACATAGCCTTCATGTCATTTTCTTAGTTATTATTTTAAAACGTTCACATTCTACTCTTAGAAAGATTCACTTGTACCCTTGTAAGATAAACCACAGAAGCGATCCCTCCAATCCCCCTCCCTCCACCCATTCCCCTCTCCCCTCTCTCTACCCCTCCCCATATTCTTAGGCTGTTATTAGGTTATGATTTCAAGGGAGAGATGAGCTTCTTAGTCTCTCTTATTAAAATCTGATTCAGGAGCCGTTGGTTTCTTTTTCCTATTTGTAAACTTAGAGCTCTCTTATACTGCTGATGAAATTATAGCCAATATATAATCTGAAGTATATATCCTCAAATATTTACACGTTTTTAAAAGACGATGCTGTATATAACCATTGTTCTCTTGTTTGTGATTTACAGACTGTACAGAACATTTAAGGACAGCAAATATCTGTATATGCTGATGGAAGCTTGCCTAGGTGGAGAGCTCTGGACCATTCTCAGGGATAGGTAGGAGATTTAAGAAATTTCTACTGCTCTAAAAACATAGTTGCTCTTGTTGGTCTTTAAGAAGAGTTGACACGATAAAGTATAACAAGCATATTTACACTTTGTGTGCTTATTTTCAATAAATAAATAAGAGGCTTTCTTATTTAAGACCACTCTCTATGAACATACCAAGCTCTCTATGTGGTTAACCATATAGGCTCAGTACCACAATAGAAATGGTACCTACCTACCTACTGAGCAAAATGTATACACAGGCCTTAGATCAGCACGAATATGAGGATTTGACTTTTTACCTGAATTCCATTCATAGCTATAACATGAAGAGAATTATGGTTATTGTATAATTTTAGTGTGGATTAACTATTAGTTTAATTGTCTCACTATTTTTCCATATAGGGAGTCTGCTTTTCACGTCACTGAGCATTTTTCCCAAATTAATTTTTTTCCTCTATGTTGTTCTTTGGTTTCAAAATGTACACGTTTCTAGGCATCTCTTTTAGCCCTTAGTACATAAAAAATGAATCCATTCCTAAGTAGTATTTCAAGTCAGCAGTCTGACTTAGATTTACCTTTTTGCCCTTCCAGAGCAAGTAAAGTTTAATGCTTGCATCTTTTAATTATACAAATTCATTGCATCTTAATTTTCATCTCATAAAATTACATAACTAGCAAATTATCTTTTTATTTAATATATCCCAAGAAATGTATCAGATCATTATCTACCCTAAGTGTTCACTCTTTAAAAAGTAATGAACACAATTTTATTTTCCTATGAACAATGTCTTGATCATTTTCCATGGATAATTGACTGGTCACTTAAGTCCTCTTTGTTCCTGTGAGCCCTCACTCTCAGACATTGGTATTTTCCTTATTTGTCTCAGGCCTGCCCCTTAGATGCTTCATCATCTTTCTAAAACTTAGTTGTAGATGACCCTGATGTTCCCAGGGAGCCAAGTCATTTTTTGACATGTGTTACTTTCTAGATATCTCAGAATAAAACAAATGGCTCTTTATAAAATACTCATTTAAATTCTCACTGTGTTGTTATCATACCTTTATATCTTTATAAAAAAATGTCCTTTCAGATCTTTTATTCCCATGGCCTTAGTTATAAATGTCAAATTGATTTTTTAACATACAGAATTCTATTACGTTAGTGTTTTATTTCATTTCTTAAATTTTAAGATAAAAAAACACAACGGAGTGCTTCGTGTTGGGACTTAGGAACAAGGTTAATATCTGTACTAAGCTGTTACATCATAGTATGCTACTATATTATTATTACTCAATATTTGTGTATAGCTTACACGCCAACTATTGTAATAGAATCCAGGGATAAATGAAATGGGTGTGATTCCACTCCTTTGAATTTATAGGCTGTTGCACAAAGCTAATATTTTGATCTATGATGCACAAAGCTGATATTTTGATCTATGATTTAATATCTGGTATATCCTAATGTGTTTCTACTGTATTATTTTTGACCTGATATTTCAACCCCCTGATTTATTTGAACTCTCTTCTCTACTACTTTCTAATTAGAATAGGAGAAGATTTACAGGTGAAATGAAACATGAAAGCCGTCATTCACCCAGGAAGAGACTGACTATATTCTCATAACTTATTACATCCTCTATTAACTCCTTTAACCAGAACAATAGCTGCAATATAATGATCAAACTCAACCTTAAGTCCATTCATGAGGTGTCAAATATACACAGGCATCAATCTGCAACGAAATTTTGACAGTAAACATTCTTTCATAATTTACCTTGTTTAACTTGATTTCACCTTTTGTTTGTTCATAAATTCTAGCCAACAATTCTGAGTGAGGTGTATTGTGATTTGTTGGGGTAGCAGAATTTCCTATTAAGAAGCAGCTTAGCTTTGGTGGAGTAGATGGAGGGCAAATAGCAATTCATTTCTCGCCTCCGCCAGGCTGCTTTTGGTCCTCACTTTTCCCTTCTCTTTTGTCACCGTCGTGTTTGGGGTGCACAGTTGCTGAGTTCTCCCAGTGTGCTTCATACGCCATGAAGAGGCATAATCTGCAGAAACAGTGGCTATCTGACTCTTCCCTAAAATTCAGAGGTGTTGAAGTAGCAATTATATATAAAATCACCTTGGAATCACTGGCCTCGGCTAACTCTCTTCCTTCTATGCATGTAGCTTTCTTTACGGCTTTCATTCTCACTGACTTCTCTTTTGCCTACTCAAGAAATTGCTGAATGAATCCCCAACAATAAAAAAAAAAAATTGCTGAGGGAAAACTATGAGTGTAGATAGCCAGTCACCTGTTAGTCTGCCCCCTCACTAGCTTTTTGTTTAAGATTAAGAGTTAGAAAGAAATGAAAGAATGGCAAGGGGAAGATTATGCTATTGGAGTGTATATGAAGATATCTGCCCTCCAGAAAAAAGACAAAACCCTGTCCATGTATGCAGTTTTCCTTTCCTATTTGAGGATAGCAGCAAAAGGAGATGCTTTCCTGAAAGCATGCAGGAAATGTGTTTGGGCTGATCTAAAGAAAGGCTTGGCTGACCTTACTCATTACTGACATGGAAATACCTCTGAGCCTCAGGGATTTAGCACAGGAAGTCTCTGATAGCAACCCAGACCTCCTCTCCCCTCACAGCTGAGATGACCATTCCCGGCCGCTCCCTCTCCTTCCTCTCCCTAACATAGGAGAGAGACACAGAACGGTTCTTTATTGTCAAGAAGCAAGAATGAAAATGACACCATCTATATACACAGTGTTTGGGACTATTATTTATTAGGTTTCATGTTTAATCTTCTACTTGGTGGCTTTTTTGCCTCCCTCAAGTTATGTTCCATTATTTGCCACAGGTTGGCAAATATTTTATTCTCTTCCCTTCTCTAACACCTAAGGAATGGACAACTCCCACAACTTTCTTAAAAATATAAGTACTTAATATGATAGATAAATAAATATAGATTAGTACTTATATTGACTTATGATTTAGCCTCCCTAAGCTTACAATTGTGGCATTACATATAACTAATATATACTATTAGTATTTATACTTATTTGTTAATATTAGTATTTCATGTATATTTTAGCTTAATGAAATTTAACATCTCAGTGATTTGCTTCATAAGAATTTTTAAAGTGTATGTTCATTTTTCTTACTGAATTCCTTACATAAGTACTTCAGAAACCATAATTTTCAAATCTCACAAATCTCACTTTCTGGTCACGACATCCTATGTGTATCTTATAAGGCCACAAATCGTGAGGGACTTTCATGTTCAGCCTTCTTGATTCCAGCTCTTTTGTGGAGGGTAATTATTAAAATTCCATGTAAGATGACTTAATAGGTGGCACAGATCGAAGGCATCTCAAAGACAGTAAGTCTTATCTTCATAATAACTTAGCCTCCCTAAATTGACAATTTGGCAATAAGCTCACCTAGATTGCAAATATACTTCAGGGTTATTCACTCACTAATGATTGTCATTGCTAGTCAATAAAAAGAGTGAAAATTTTTTGATGAGACATATTTTGTCTTTGTTACATCCTGACACATAAGGATTCCGTTTATGACAAGTCAATTAAACACTGTGATTAAACTTTAATTTGATTCTATCAATAAATAGCCCTTAATTCTTTAATCAAATTATTGTTTATTACCCTCTAGCCTGAAACAACCACTCATTCACAGAGAGGGTGTTAAGTGCTTCTTATTTGTTTCAATTGAAATGACACAGCTGTCAAGGCGTAATTTATTACTTCAGAGTGATATAGGGCAAGGGATTTATTTCTTTAAGCAACTCTCTGAAGTATTGATAAAACAAGCTTTCGTGTCTTTTTTAGATCAAATTTACACTGCCATTTCTAATTCTAATAGTTATTTTTCATTACCAGTAACTCTAACATTTTGCTTTCCAATTGCTTTCAAGATGTGTATTTTAAAATGCACAAATTATAGACATCAGATGTTTAGCAAATGAAACAGTGTATTGCTGGTAAACATTTTGTGTGCATATGTGACCCTGATTTATCAAGGTGTGAGACAAGATTTACATTTGACTTTCAAAATCAGTTACAAATATATAGGAAAGATACTCCATATAGCTCTGTTGAAGGAATTGAAACCAGCTTTCTAGACTCCTTCAAATTCCAAAATGGCTCAGAAACAAACAAACAAAAAAAACTTGGGACAAATAAACAGAGCTACCAAGAACTGAAGACCCAAAGAGCTATGATTTATGGTCCATTTACTTCACCTTGAAAATGGAGGGTTTGGGCTGGAAGACAATAAAAGAGGAATTTTTTGCCTGTACATTTGTGAGAAGCATGGGAAAAGTGAAAGGAACAGAGATTAGCAGAGGATTCTTCAGAACTAATTCATGGCAGTTAGCCTTGGCTTTGAAAAGCATTTTCATAACAGTGATAATTCATGTCGCGAATTGCTCACCTCCACCCCCAAAATACTGCAGCCAGCCCTCTATTATGTTGGTTAATTTTCTTAGATGAAGATGTGGTAGCTAAAGAAGAGTTTTCTGGCACTCAATTATATAATGGCTATTTTTTATGAGTTTTATGCCAGAATTTATTCTAAGTATATCATCAATTGGTTGAGTCTTTACAATTAACAATGAAATTGTTACCATTATTGGCCACATTTTGCATATTCCAACACTGAGCCCCAGAGAAGTATAGTTAGGTGGTCAAGATCGAGCAGTAAGTGGAGCCCAAATTGGAACTCAGGAGTCTCATCTCAGGGTCCATATTCCTAGTTAGCCTTCAAGGTCAAGGCTAACTGCCATGAATTAGCTCTGAAGAATCCTCTGTTGATCTCTGTTCTTTTCACTTTTCCCATGCTTCTCACAAATGTACAGGCAACAATTACTCTTTTATTGTCTCCCAGCCAAAACCCTCCATTTTCAATGTGAAGTAAATTGACCATAAGTCATAGATCTTTGGGTCTTCACCTCTTGTTAGCTCTATTTGTCCCAGAGAAGTATAGTTAGTTGCTCTAGATCAAGTAGTACATGGAGCCCAAATTTGAACTCAGGAGTCTCATCTCAGGGTCCATATTCCTAATTTGCAGCCTCCTCTTATGACTTTGAGTTGGTATTAGGCTTTTCCATCTTGTGAATAACCAGCCTATTCAGAATGTGGATACACCATTCAGCAGAGATTTCATAAGAAATTAATTTCTCACATAAGCCTTTACTTCCATTTTAACATTAACAATGTATTTGGAAGTTTGGTTCCATTAACAACTAAATATTAAGGGAAGCAGAAATATGTTCCCAGAATTGCACCTGCAGAAATAATCTCTTCTAACATTAATTGAGAATTTGTAGCCTTTCAATAAGGCCCACCCAAATCATAGTTAAACAGTCCTGATATAAGGAAGCAATCAAGTTGCTGGTTGAAATAAAACAGGTAATATGAAATAAGAATCTATTCCATGCATCCTTTGTTTGTTTGTTTGTTTGTTTGTTTTGTTTTTAGTTTTTGGCCAGGGCTGGGTTTGAACCTGCCACCTCCGGTATATGGGGCTGGCACCCTGCTCCTTGAACCACAGGTGCTGCCCCCATGCACCCTTTGTATTGCTGTTTTGCTTTGCTTTTCAATATTCTCCACTGAGAAGGGACAGAAGTCAAATACAGCACTCAAGGTAGCTAAAGCAGTATGCTAATTATAGAAACACAGATGTTTACTATTTAAGTAAACAATCTCTCCAATTGAAAAAAATCTCAACTCTTGATAGACAAACACACATAACTTAATTATGGGCAAAGAAGAAAGGACCTTCAAGGCAATACTCTAATCCCTTTTCCAATACACAGGATTATAGAATTTCAGTTCTGCAAGAATAGCTCCAAGTAGGATAATTGCCACATAAGTTATGTCATTTATTTTCTGCTTTGGCTGTGGTTCTCAAGCTTTTTCTTGTCCTCATAAATTAACAATTGTTCCATCCAGATACTTAGTAATTATAGCTAAGATTTTAGTATCTAGAGAAGTAGATATTATTCCTAGAATTATATTTTAAAAGAAGAGATGATTATTTCACTGACAATTCAGAAAACATTAGCAGGTGAAGTGAAGACCATCCCTTTAGTTGACTGCCTTAGTCTTTATTCACTTATGAATTTAGTAAAAACTCAGCCATATTCCACTGCCCCGTTTGTAAGACATTACTCCTTAATTTTGGAAAAGAAGTAGATGTTACCAAATGCCAATGGGCATCACAGACTCTCATGAAAGGAAGCTCTGGGGCTACCATTTTTGGCATACTACCCAAAACCACCTGTGTGCTTGTTGCTCATGTTACATCTCAACTACCTTAAGAGTTGATGTGGGGCAGTGCCCGTGGCTCAAAGGGTGGGGCACTGGCCCCATATACTGGAGGTGGCAGGTTCAAACCCAGCCCTAGCCAAAAAAAAAAAGAGTTGATGTGCATACTCATATTCTTACCTATATGCATAATATATGCACACGCATAGAGTTTTCTTGCTAAACATTATAATCCACTTCACTAAGAAACATTCCCTTCCAGTTAGCTTTTTCTTTCTAATTGTCTTTTAGTTTCATCTTCTCCTATTAATAAGAAGGCAGTAGTGTAGGAAATAGATATTGTCTTAATGACAGAAGATGGAAAATCAGAATACTGAGCGTGCAACATGATTGCATCAGTAGCATTACAACTCATTTCCAGAGTGGTTCTTTGAACTGGCTTACAGTTACAGTCTCATGAAATGTGTCTACCTCGTTTACAAAGATTCAACAACAAGCCCTCTTAGAATAAAGACGAATAAAGCCATAAACCTCTCCTTTAAAAACCAAATCCTTGGCAGATAAGCTCTGAGGCATAATAGTATCAGTTCTGTCTTCTGTAATGGTATCCATTCTCTCTTCTGCCCACTGCTGTAACTCTATGCCTTTTTAGATTGTAGTGGGCTATTGAGAGGAAGCCACTAAGTCCATGAAGTGCAGTGTGTTGATGAACGCCCCTTCAGCCCTTTCAGGAAGTTAGATTTCTCTATCTCACTCTCAAAGGCAGAGAATTCCTTGACTTGATCCTGGAATGCTTTTGAAAACCCAAAGCAATGCTAATCACGTGACATGTAGCTACTCAGACATTGATCTCTGGGTTAAATTTTGGCAAAGGTATACAGTGAAATGAGAGGGGGGAAAAAACTTGTAAGAGAAACTAATTTCTCATACACTTTCTATTCCATTTTCTGTATCTCAGAGGTTCGTTTGAAGATTCTACAACCAGATTTTACACAGCATGTGTGGTAGAAGCTTTTGCCTATCTGCATTCCAAAGGAATTATTTACAGGGACCTCAAGCCAGAAAATCTCATCCTAGATCACCGAGGTTACGCCAAACTGGTCAGTGCGTTTCCCGTGTGGGTTTTACCCCTGCGGTTTTCAAATATTTGTTTATAAAGCTGTGTTTGTTTATTAATGTAAAATCTTAGTTTTAGGTGGTTACTTTTCTTAAAGGCAGATTTTAGTGTTACAATTTTCAACTCAATATTCTTTCAATTTATGTAACAGCTATAAGAAAGTAAATTGGCTAATTTAAGTTAACAATATCCTAGCAAAATATGCTATCTCATAACGATTAGAAAACACACTTGCTGGCATGTATTATAGACTTAGGAGAGATCATAGAAGACCATTCTTCTACTCCGATTTCTGCCATCCAAAGGCAATTGGTGGTTGTATTAAAAATCTATGAGTCATTTAATACTTTAATATTTTAGATTTAAAAATAATGCTACTGGGGAGAATGGACTTGGCAGACAATGCTATCCTGCCCTGTTAATAATAGTAATAAAGCGAAAGCCCTAAAGATTTACCATAGATGGGAATTCTCTTATTTAAAAATGCACCTTTTTTGGATCTGTCAGTACCTGATTCCATTTTTAAAATTTTTGGAACTTTTAATCATATAGTTTTTAGAGAAGTCAAATCAGTAGCAGTTAATTCTTTGCAATTCAACCAAATTGTTTTAGAAAAAAATATTAATAGACTTTCTGCACTCAAGGCTCTTTCTTAAGAAAGTTTCTAAAAAATGAATAAATTTTTATTTTATTTTGTTTATGTGTCTCAATTGCCAAGTCATTGGTCCCATAACTGTGTTATTCACCACCTTTGAGAAAAAAGCGGCTTCTTAAATCATTAATACTAAATGAATTGTCAACTCTATTAAATCCAGCAAAATTATGAATATTCTGGGAAAGATGTTTAGTAGCCCCCACTGACCTGTTAGAAACTTTGAGTAAAAGAGAACTTCTTTCTTTTGCCCAAACCTCCATTGGCATAAAAGAAGAAAAAATAAAAACTGTTTCCAGAAAGAAAGATTTGCCTTTATTTTTCATGATGTAAATTTTATCTGATACTCAGGTTACAATTTTTCCCATTAAAACTACATTTGATCAGGGAGACTTTGTTTGCAATAGAGAAGATTCCTTTTAAAAGACAGGACTATAATAACTTGCGCCTTTTTTATTATTATCATCATTGGTATATTTCAATGAATTCAAAATAATTCATTGCTTTTGAATGTAATCATGTGTAGCTTAAAGTATCTTGTTTTTTTCTCTTCATAAGGTTGATTTTGGCTTTGCAAAGAAAATAGGGTTTGGAAAGAAAACATGGACTTTTTGTGGAACTCCAGAGTATGTCGCCCCAGAGATCATCCTGAACAAAGGACATGACATTTCAGCTGACTATTGGTCCCTGGGAATCCTAATGTATGAACTTCTGACTGGCAGGTATGGATATCGATAGGGAATTACTATTATTATAAAAATAGAGGAGCAAACAGCTACATGCTCTTGCCATTTTCACCCTGATTAGACCACCTTAAAGTGAATTTCACCATATCTTAATGCCACCTTGGAATTAGGCAAATGTCTGGAATTTATAAAGCAAAGTCAAAAATGGGTCAGATGAAGGCAACCACCTCAACACCATGTTTGGTCTCATTTTTGCTAATTCTGTAGACACATGTGAATGAGGAGGGATCCAATGTCCTTTTATGAAATTTTTGAGCCCAGTCATTTAGCCAGCAAAGGAGATGATAATCATATAAAAATATCTAGGGTCAACTTTTCTATGAACTTAGAAATGTGTGTTAGCAATTGTTATATCTAAATGAAATGTGAATGCTCTGCAGATCTTTTGTGTAGAATTGTAATCAACAAAGAGAAAAGGCTGTAGGAATACCACATAAGACAATCTATAAGCTCGTCCAAAACCAATACTAACATAAAAACAAATACTTCACCATCGGATAGGCTAAAGACAGTGAAGTAACAGGGTTATTATGAAGCACAGAGTTCAGAAGAGCATTGAGTTTGTCCAAAGAGGCCTTTGAAGAATGGATGTAAGACCATAGTCGGTTCTTGATGTGAGAACAGGGCTTAGCTATAGAAAGGAAAGGAAAGGGCATTCGAAGCAGAGAGACATGGCTGAAAGAGAAAGGTAGTGATAGGCACAGACATGTAAAAGGTCCATGGAAAAGACTAACAGATCGAGATGACTCATCTTTCAAGGAGCATGATTGCTGGACTTGAAGATTTGGACTCCATCCAGAGAGGGAATCATTGAGTATTTTCCAACACAGGAATGAATGACAGGAGTTTGGTATTTAAGGAAAAACAAGCTGACAGTAATATGTAGGGCAAATTGGAAGAGGGATAGGAAGCCTAGTTGGGAGATCACTCTCAGTTCTGGAATGCTGAGAGCCTAGAATAGGGTTGAGGCACTGGCAAGAAAAGTTAAGTAAGAGACAGAATGAGAAAGATTTACTGAAGGGGACTTAGGCATCAGTGAGAATGAGAGGAAGATTTAGGACTTTCAGACTCAGAATTGTGAGAATTCAGGGAGACTATGAAACACTTAGAAGATTGTGTAGCACATAGTAAGCACTCTGTGAGGGTTAGAAACTACTACCTTAGCCACAAATAACTAACTGTGCTTTGATTTTCATTTGTTGGCATTTTATATTATTACTCTTAAAACTTTTATGGAGATTTCAAAGAAATTATCTATGACCTAACCCAATTTAGTTTGATATTCTCTCTTGTATAGATGTAAACTACTTTAAATATATGGCAAATTAAGTAGACATATAACAATATGAAAGGTTTGGATAAAAGAGAAGGTTAAATTTAACATACAGATAAGCAATCTTTCTAGTATGCTTAGAATTACTATAAAAACAATCATATAATGAATATAAGACAATGAAATATTAACTATTAAATAAATAAAATATTAATCATTAATAACTATACTCAGGTATTAATGCTAAAGTACTTAATTTGTTTTTGTTATTAATACTCTACTCAAGTATTAATTTAAAATTTAACTGAAAATTTCTATTTCTCTTTACTTGAATAGAAATTATTCTGTGATCAATGTTTATTCATTGATTAATAGGAAAAATGATTAAAGCCTTAATCTTAAAAATTGCCACATACTACACTGTAGTAAATCATTAATAACAGAAGAATCCTCAATGTTTTAAAGTAGAAATTTCACAGACCATAGCATCTGACCACAAAATAATAAAACAAATATTTGATAACAAACATTTAAAAGAAAATATCTAAATACTTGAAAATTTGAAAGCACTTTTCTAAACAGCAGGGACAAAGAAGGTATGTAGTGGTGGAACAGTAATCAAAATAAAGCATTATAAATCACAATGTGTGTGGTTTGACCAAAGCTTAAGCACACATTTATTAACTATTTATAAATGAATAATTTATTTACATAAATACATATATTGTTAAGATAAGTGTTATCATTAAAAATAAATGAAGTTAGCATCCATTTCAAGAAATATAAAGAGACAGAGAGACTTCCATCAAAGATAGGAGGGGAAAAAAGCATTTTTACTCTATTTTTGTCTTTCTACTCAAAGAGATGATGGTGGTGGGAAGGGGCAGGGTAGGAGAAAACAAGAATAAAACATTTCTCATGATCTTAGGTACAATGAGAATGTGACCAACCACACCTGTCAAACACTATGAAATGTAGTATGTGACTAGGAGTGATGCTGATAGACTTTGCTGGGCCATAAGAATGACTCCAAAGTGTTATGGTCCTGAATGTCATATCTTATGATTTTTGATTGAATAACAACATAGCAAAACTGGATGGACTTTGAAAGACAAAGGAGTGTTCACACAGAGATCCAGTTAAGCACCACGGTATGACAGAAGAACTGAAGGGAATTCATAAAGTTACCAATTAATACTGCTTTTTAAGGCCCATGATATTGGTCAATAAAGAAAATGGGAGGGCAAAAAAAGGAGGGAGACAGGGAGTGCAAGATTTCAGACTTTGCCATGAGCCACATGATATCCTAAATGCTAAAAATTGAGTGCAAAGGAAATAGATGATCTGGTGGGACGGTTTATAAAGCAACTAATTCCAGTGAAGGATGTTGCATTTTTCATTACCTCCTTCCCGCCAGCCTTCTTTATTCTAGTTTAATAGAAGCTAGCCCAATTTAAGGAGGAGTAATAATCAGAAAGGTTCTCAAAGAACGCAGTCTCTACCCCTCTCATATCACCAACCCCTCCTTCCCAACTCCTTTGTTACTTACTGATTTTATGTGAGGATCTACCACCCCCCCCACCACTCAGGAAAAGATGATTCATCTGCAGTCTAGGTTTAGGTTAAGTTCATCTGTTCCAGTCATCTGTTGTCCCTCTGGTGATTGGCATTGATTAGATCAGGAAGAATTTCAAAGTTATATAATAGAAAATTCATGGCCGACTCAACTCATTGTATCCTTTTGATCTGCAGTGACCATGGGGAAACCTATTCAGAATAATAACACCACAATGTGTCCAAGTGTAATTTCCTCAAGTCAATAATAGTGAATAATCATATCGACATCAAAGCCACCAAAGTATGTCCTATATGGCATAGGTAGTGATGTACTGTATAAGTGCCTTTAATGCCAAAAGATAGGACATCTAGAACTATATGGCACTGAGGAGAGAGAACATACAACCCAAGCAGTTTATGCAGAGTTAAGTCATTCTTAAAATGCAAATATAACATATAAAACGTATACCCCAGGCCTTTCTCAGAAAGACCACTATTTGACCAAGTCAACAAAAGATAAATCAAAATAAACCAATCAGGAATAGAGAAACTGGTAAAAAGACAGACTATGAACTTTGATATTAATTAAATCTCTATTAATCTAGAACTTAGATTCATCTAAGTGTAATTTAAATTTGGGTAATAGAGCAGAATGTAAATATTGTAATCTTTGACAATCTTAAAAACAATACTAAAAGCAACAAAAGTTAAAGTGGGAGGGGAAAGGAAGGAATAACTATAAGTAAACTTATTTTTCATTGGTCATAATCAGTAACCTTAAATATTTTTTACAGTTGAAGCATGTCATTACAGAAAAGAAAGTTTTTAAAAAATTTTTCTTAATTTTAGGGAATTTTTTAGGAATGTATAATGATGAAAAAGTACATATTTGTCATTTAGCATTTTTTTCCATTTTTCTCCGCAGCTTAACTAGAGTAAAATTAAATTGAATACATTTTTAATTTTAAAAACATGTGTACTATTATGCTGTGTGCCTTTATCTACAAAGACAAATGCATAAAATTATGGTCATGAAATGATTATTATTAATACTTTTGGGTGTTGGATGATTATTACTTTCTTTGAAATAATTTTAAATATATATATATATTTTTTTTTCCTTTGAATATCTTAGACTGAATGTGCATTACTTAGGAAAACCGTAAAGATGCTGACTTTGGCAGCACATATACTAAAATTGAAACAATACAGAGAGGATTAGGATGACTCCTGAGCAAGGGTGAAGCCCAAATTCATGAAGCATTCCATATTAAAAAAGATTTAAAAATAAAAATATATAAAATTTAAAACATTGAAACAGAAAAAAAGAAGCAAAACCATGAAGATCATTTTTAATAAATTGTTATGATTGTATAAGATAAACAGATAAATAGAAAAGCAAAATCATAAATTAGAAAACTGGGTTTTTTTATTATTCGATTGATAAAACTGAAGATGTGGCTCTTCTTTATTTTTTAAAATAAAAATCAAAATTGGCAAGTTAACTTAAGAGAGTAAAGGGAATATTCAATCACAGCATCACCTAAGAGAACATTTTTAAATTCTAAGAGAATGCTAAATAGAATTGCATGAAAATATTTATGCACTTTTAAAAGTGATTTAAAATTGGGAGGCAATTACTAGTTAATGACATTTAAAGTCAGAAGAAAGCACTTGTCACAGAAAATCAAGGTAGAGGTCATCACAGCCCCTGCACAAAGCAAATCTACTAAACTCCACTTTAAATAACTCATTATTTTTTAGCCTGCCTGATAAAAGGAAATAGTTTGAACTGTTATTAATAAATATGATGGACACGACAAAAATAATCTGTAGGATTTCTTTCTCACAGGCATGTGAACCCAGTATTAAGAGAATAATTAATTTCCAAATAAATCATTTGTCAAGGTATACCATAATCTCCCCTCTGAACTATGATATATTTCAAGGAAGGCTCAAAACATTAGTTACCCTTGTATCCTGTGAGGCTGACACAAAGTCACACACTGAGGATGGAAAGTTAAAAAAAAAAAATCGCTAACATATGTGGCACACAAGGGCTTGGGTATCACACCCCTGCTAGCAAAGAGGCTGGGTAGTGCTAAGTCATCTGCTGAGAGCCTGTGAACAGGGAGACAGTATTCTAAAGAAGCATTAGCTCAACAAATATATACTGATCCCTTCCTGCATGCTAGGCACTCTACTTAACTCTGGGAATACTCGCAGAAAACAAAGCATAGTCTGGATGGGAAGAAAGACCTAAAACAAATAAGCACACAAATAAAAGATAATTGCAAAATACAGTAAGTCATAAGTATACTATAAGAGAGTCTAACAAGGGACTCTAAGATTAAATTTGAGCATTGGACTGGACAAGTTAGTTGATATAGGCTATGTGACCTAGATAACCTATGTAAAGTTGGCCACCATTTATGCTAAAACTTGATAAATTGAGGTATTTGCCAGTCAAATGGACCTTCCAGGCAAAAAGAAACAAAAAGAAAGAAAGCCAGAATACCTGAATTGGCAAAGTGGTATTGCTGGTATTTCAGCAGAAGAGAGAGAAGGTTGTTGAAAGCACGAGGTGGGGTGAGGTGGAGTCACTTCTTTGATGTTCTTGTGGCTCCTTTCGCGATTTTGGACTTCATCCCAAGTGTGATCAGTGAGTCAGAAATTGTGAGAAGGTGTAGAAGGGGAATCCTGAACAGGCAAAGACAGCAAATGGGTTAGACACTCACACTAAAAAGAAATACGGAAAACAATAGATCCATCTGTGATTTTGCCAAGTGTTTTACCTGGAAGGGTTTCCACACTGTTTTGCTGTTAATAAACTTTAATTCCATAAAAACTCCTAACATGATCCTCCCAATAAGAACGGTGTGGTGGGTGTAGTTTATAGCGAGTTGTGTTCTCTCGTAGAAGCAAAGCAACCTCTCTTTCATGTCCCCCCTTCTCCCAGCCCACCTTTCTCAGGCCCAGATCCCATGAAGACCTATAACATCATCTTGAGGGGGATTGATATGATAGAATTTCCAAAGAAGATTGCCAAAAATGCTGCTAACCTAATTAAAAAACTATGCAGGTAAGTATTTGAACCACATTATTTTTGAAAGGATGATCATGTGGAAAAAATTAGATTACTTAATAAAATTATTATTTTACTTTTAGGGACAACCCGTCAGAAAGATTAGGGAATTTGAAAAATGGAGTCAAAGACATTCAAAAGCACAAGTAAGTGTTCTTTCCTTACAACTTTGGGTTTCAGAGTTCAGAAAACCTGATAAGCATTTCCCCAGGAGGCTGTGATTCCAGATTATTGGCGTATAGCTGACACAATTAGCCTGTAGGAACTTCCAAAAAGAGGGTATAAACCACATAGTCTTTTAAAGGCTTTCCTGGTTGTGTGTCTAGAACTTATTTAGACATATTTAACAACCCTGTGACATTCCCAACAACAAATTCATTGAATTCAATTTTCAACCAACTCCTACAAACAGGCATTTATTTTGTTTCCCTCTCCGGCACAAAAAAGGAAATGTGTCATTTTACTTGGAGGCTTCTATTATCTACCAGGATATTAAAAATAAAAATCCTCCACCGTATCATACCTCATTTCCTAGACTAAAAGCAAACCATTTCCTAATAAGATGATGTAACAGGAGGAAAAAAAAAGTACAAAATACAGGTTTGTTTGTTTTTTTTTAAACAATTGCAACATCTTCAGTATCCTTTCCTGTGTTAAAGTCATGTTCTAAAGCCAAAGTCAGCTCACATGGATTTGTCTCTATTAGCCTGTTTGTGTAAGTCACAGGAAGTTCACATCTCTATCAGAGGAATGTATTTGCTTTAAAAAAAAAAAGCTACGAATATCTGTAAGGCCTGTTAAGAATATGATGTAAGTATTTGCTAACAGCAAAACCTTCAAACACAAACCGAAAACCAACCTCTAGTGACATGTGATCCTCATTGTCACACACGAAAAGCCGTACGGTATGTACAAAACACCTTCGTTCTATTTTAAAAAAGAAAAGCAAATGAGATATGCAGAGACCAATACAATTTCACAGTGATGTGAAAAGGTTAATTAGCTGAGACTGTGCGCTGAATCAGTGGCAAAGATGGAAAGTTAATTTTCTGTCCTGACTCTTCATGCCCTGATTTTTATCTTTTTAAAATAAAATGTCCCCTAAAGCAGAGGGCCAAGCATATTATGACATTTATTAAATTATAATCATAGTGTAGGAACAAAGTCATCCAGGCATCGTGCCTGAAATTGCAAGAGAGAAAGAGTTGCGTGTTCACGGGTACTTGAAGTCTGACAATTATACCTGTGAAAAATATGCATTTTATCAAATAAGCGAATTGAAGAAAGTCTGTAATTAAATAGAAAACATTGTTGTCACAAGAAAGTTTGTCTAAGGGTTTTCCATCAGTCACGTATACCATACATGTTGCAATGAGAAGGTTGAGGTTTAGGTAACATGCCTCTAACTGTCTGCTTTTTTCCCCCTTCCTAGATGGTTTGAGGGCTTTAATTGGGAAGGCTTAAGAAAAGGCACCTTGACGCCTCCTATAATACCCAGTGTAAGTGTCCTCTCCAGCTTACAATTGTGTGAGATGCTTGATGATGTTCACATCAGTCAACAAAGATCTGTTATTTTTCAAGCTTTGTCCTATCATCAGATTAAATAAACTATAGGGGAAGTATTGCATTAAAATAATGACATATTCAAAGATCCAAGCTAAGAAACAGATAAATTGGAGGATGGTTACTGGGTAGGCATTACCGTTATCTTTCTGACTTTTTTTTATTTTTCAGTTTTTGGCTGGGCTGGATGTGAACCCGCCACCTCTGGCATACATGGGGCCAGTGCCCTACTCCTTTGAACCACAGTCGCTGCCCTTGACTGTTTTAATTCAGGTTTCTTTTATTTGGGACTAAAAGTGAACTTTTAGAATGGTGAATGTTAAACATATACAGATGCAGACAAAAGAGCATAATGAATCTGCAGCCACTGCCAATTTCAATGACTGCTAATTTTTGCCCAATGTTGATTCATTGATGCCCCCACAGAACTCCTCCTGTCCTCCCCCCAGTACTATGGAACACTCCCAGGGAAAAGTGTGTCTTCTCATCTTTCAGTCAGGTTCTAAAAGAAAAAAGGTTGTTTTTTATAAACTTTGTTTTCTTAAAACATTGGGTTTAATGTTAACCTAGTCCACCGAGTGCACTGCTGATATCATATTGAGCTGAAATAGATTTTGAACAACCAAATTTGTACTTTTACTTGGTATCATACCTATTTATACAATGTGCTACATCTTCATTAAGGGGAGAGAACTGTTTTTTTGGGGGGGAGACAGGGTCTTGTTATGTTGCCAAAATTAGCCTTAAATTCCTGGGCTCAAACAATCCTCTTGCCTGAGCCTCCAGAGTAGCTGGGACTGCAAGCACTGCACCACACACCACACCCCATTTCCCCTACTTCTAAGATTTATTTCTGTGCTAATATTCATGTATTCATGAAGAAAACAAAAACACAATTGCCATCTCTTATATCACAGATGTTAATTGCATTCATGAAGTTTTATTTTTACAACAGTAGTAGAGGAAGAAGCTGGGTTAAATCTAAATTAGTCGAATCTAAATTTATCTGGGGTCTGCTTTTAGGAAATAGTAATATTAAGTGGGCTTTTACTGATGCTCTGCAGATTGAACTTTGCCCAATCATTTGCAAAAATTTTGTTTGCATGTAGAAATGGCTTTTTATTGTACTTTGATAAACACACAAATTCCTTAGGATGCCCACAGGTCCTGCATAACCTGGTTCCTACCTACTTCTCCAGCTCCCCCCTCCATTCCACTTCCCTCTCATATAGCAGTCCTGGTGTCTTCTTTTTTTTTTTTTTTTTTTTTTTTGAGACAGAGCCTCAAGCTGTCCCCCTGGGCAGAGTGCCGTGGCATTACAGCTCACAGCAACCTCCAGC